TTTAGAATCAACTAACTAAGTCATTAGCTTTATTCGTATTTGGACTGAACCTAGTAAATAGTTGTGGAGATCACTTTTTAGAATGTGGAATAAATATTAAAGGGAAGGAGGAGAAAACTCCAAAAGAAATCAATAGAGAGAATAGTGAAAATGGGTTCAAGAATATTTCCATTAAGGAGAACATCAATCCTAAATATTTAACACAGAGACGTAAAAATAATCGGATAGGTTAGCCTAAGTGCCCAGAGAGAAAAGCTTGTAATGGTCATGACTTTCTTTTCCGGTTGACACAGCGTTTAATGGAAACATCGAGCAGAAATTGTATTTTCATAAGAAATAGAGAAATCCTATTAAAAATGAAACCTTTAGAACCCTGTCACATGCCTTCATGAATATAGTAAACACCGAACATTACGTATTCCATTATGCACATATTATTTTGATGAAAAGAAGCAAGAATTCTCAAAGTAAGTCGTGCAAGCTTAGGTGATGGCGCAGCTCTCTTTTCTGAATTTCACGCTATCCTAACCGACATCCATGTCGAATTTGATGGCAATACCTCGTGTTGCCACATAGTCGAGTAGATGTGTTAAGAGTGGGGACCCCCCAGTTCGGTTTGCACAGGCTCAAATCTCAATTGGATTTGATAAATGGCTAACACTAATTGATAGTGTAGATATGCCCTGATTTTGCTATGATTGGCATGTTTTGAAAAAAAAGTGCGGAAAAGTGCTTTTCTTGCTTCAGATTTATTTTTTTGGCTTGAGTCGAAATGATATCCATCGAGAAGATTCCTCTCGGATAGAAAGAGCTTACACGAAAATAAATCAGACAGGTAGGGCAATAATAACAAAGATACGAGTTGAGTTTCTTCTGGGCATGTACGAAAAACTGTATGACTGTATGAAGCACGAAGAACGAAGTATTGCTGAGTAATTTCGAACACGTAGCGCCAAAGTGTTAATTCCCGTAAACACTTTCGTCCGGCACAAAAAATTTCTAACTAATCGTACCTTGTGTTCATATAAATGTTGATTTTCGATTAGAAAACGCTTTAGCTGCTATTGATATATCTGAGCTTTATTCTACATTGTAGAGGGAAATACGATATCATCAAATCCTGAGGTGTTGCGCAGCTCGCAGTCAGTCAATGCAAAATACCTGTGCTACAGCTAGGAAACTAAAGCATTCTCGAACGTAGAGGAAAATTTTCCATATTTGCACTTCTTCAACACAGCCGACTGATATATGCGACATTAGTATATGGTCAAGGAAATTGGCGGAAAACCTTCAGAAAGAAAACAGAAGAACGAGAGAATTTTTTTGTATTCCTACTTGAGGCAGAGTATCAGGCACTATTTAGCTTCAAGTAGCTTCAAGCCTAAGTATACGAGGCGGATATGTATATGAGATTAAATGCCTTTAGAAATTTTCAGTTTCTGTTTTTTAAGCTTTACTGCAACTGGTCTAACGTCCTCCAACTTAAATTAGAATGAATCTTTTAATTATTATTATAATCATTATTATGCAACTATGTTGTTTTTAATTGCATTTTCTGTTACTTGCATTTTCTTTTTTCAAAGAAGAGAAGCGAGAAGAGAAAAGTACCACTATTTGGAATTGATTTCTTAGCTTTTTTTAAATTTAAATTCCTACCCAATACCGCTGGAGAGATACATTCGCATTATAAAAATTGCAAGATACAGGCATCAACTAAGGGAAACAGTCACAGTTGACGAAAAATTCAGAAAAATTAAAAATATTATGCGAACAAATAATATTCATTACGGTTTATTCCAATTAGCCATTTATTTAACCTCATGGCTAGATATTTAAGTAAAGGAAATTCAAATATTTTAAAATACAAATATATGCGTATGTGTGCCGCAGAAACATAAGATAAACCAAAAATATTTATTTAGTTTTTATAAAAACACTCTATCATCACACTGTATGTATCTTCTAAAACCATCCTTAAAGCCCTTGGTACATAAACAAACTTAAAATCCTAGGCAAACAAGTTTTCATAAATTTTATCGCAAATGATCATCAAAAGTAAGGCTTACAGGCGAACAAAGTATTTAATAAAAAAATAAACAAATCAATAAATGATAGATTTGTAAATGAAATTCTTGTATGCGAAGGCATTCTCTTCATTGTACGAATCTTTTAACTATAAATTTACAAAAATATTACAAACACTTTTGCGTTCAACAGCAAAAAAATGTATTCTTTAAAATCCAAATAATGCTTGCATTAATGACTTGTAGAACAACTGCAAAATCTGGGTCCTTCGATACTTAAAAATTGTTGTCACTCATCCGTTACTTTATGTACCAAAAAAAAATATAGTTATATAAGTTCTGTCACCCGAGAGGTGATGATAATGTCTTGCTCTTACTCTGCTATGTTCGTTCGTTCGTTATCCACGTCCAACAATTAAACTAACGGCAAAAGATTCTGAAATTATTTATAAGCTCAACCAGGAGCATGTGCAATACGAAAATGGATTGTATTGAAACGATTTGACAAAATGACAAAAATATTTTCTAAAGTTCATTATTATGGCAACGTGAGCTCGTAGTGATAAAATTTGACAATGAAAGGTGACCAGAACGGGTGTAGGCATTATGACGTGTCCATTCGTTCAGTGGTAAAACAAAGCTTGAGCTTCTAACTAACTGAATTTATGAGTTGGTATGTACGACGTACTCTTCAAAACTGTAGAAGCCATACGAATATGTTCTCCATATTTCCTCTTAGCTGTCTTTGACTACCGCGTTTATTGTGGATCTGCAGAATAAACTTTGTACGCAGACGTGTCCGAGTGTGCTTGAAACAGGTAGCTATTAGAGAAAAAAATTATGCTTCTTTTGAGATGGAATCGCAACCCATCAGCGATCCGCGTTGTTAAAGCAGGGACGAAGTGCAACAACCATCTCGATGAATTGCATGTAAAGTCTCATTCATCCTTAACGGTAATGCATTCTATTGCAATACTGGCTCAATAAAAATTTTATGTGTTTTAAAGGATATGCTCACCCACCCAGTTAAAAATATTTAAAGAAAAAAAGTTGTAAGCTTAATTAATTAAGAGAAGTTCCGCTTAGAATACTCTCCTTTGCTTTCAAATACATTTCGTAAGGATTAGCAAGGCTCATGTAGATTTCCGCCAAAGAAGTTATTGCGACTTCTTCAGCAAAAACGAAATTCAATAGCAGCTTTAAACAATATAATGTTTAGGTCGAGAATTCGGGCTCGTTTAAATTTACCTTCCTTTCCATCCACTTGCAGTTCTTTAAGTGGGGTCGACAAACACCGGCTCTCTTCTTGACCTAAGACAGTTGATGTAAAACAAACTATAAACAACCTTCCATTTGCGCGTCGTCAACAATCTTAACGTCACCAATTTCAAAAAAACATTTTTTCCATGTCAAGAGACTTTACAGAGCGTTAAGAGATTGGGTTTAAAAACATGCGTAATATATGTGTGCAAACTCAAATCTTTTGGCTTGTCCGCTTATCCTTACGCCCTTCCATCGATGGACGACTTTTTGAAGTTAATAAATATTTAACCAATTAACTATGTATAACGAATATATACGTGACGATCTGTCTATCCGTCCTTGTCGGATTGCCTTATCAAATTTTTTCATTACGAATTTGTGTTTGCTATGATAATGTATTTTGGATAATACTTTTGTCATGTTGTCAAGTCGTCTCATTACAATCTCATGTCATATTACACAAACCCTGTGTTTGACGATTATAGGAGTATAGGAGTATATCGTTAAAGTGGTTGACACTGTTAACTGGTTAATCCTTTGTATAACGTAAGAATTTAAGTTAAGGACTCTCATAACAACGAAGGTTGATAAGTAGTACTAAAAACTTGTACTTTTATTGTTGACGTGGGAGTAGAGTTCTAAGCAGCTTAACCGATGAAATGTATTGCCCTGAGAAGAGTTAAAAAGTTGGATAATGCTATGTAATAAACGTCTCTTTCTCCATTTTATCTACGGGAGACTGATTTGAAACAATATTTCTACATATGAGCATTTGACAGGTGATACTTAAAATTTCTTTTAGTGGCTTTAAAAATCGACTTCAAAAAATTCGCCCCGCCATAAGAACCTTTCAGACGTTAATCTCAAATATTTGAGGGGTAATTTAAAATGCTTGAAAAAAGCGGTAGTAACAGTTGCCAGGCATTATCCTTTATGTGACATTTTTCAGCTTGGCGGTTACTTAAAATTTATTCCAATTTCTTTTAGGAGAATTTCTCAGCTTGGTCTTGGAGGGTATTTCCTTTCTTCTTTTCTTCTCAACAAGCCTTCTTTTTCTCAACAATAAGCTCGATTAACGGCCACAAATCCTTTCCTGCCGTAGGTATATTTCTCTCTTAAACTTGTAAAGTGTATCGCAGAGTAAATTTTTGATTTCTTGAAAGAATGCATTAGAGGAGTTATATCGATTTGCTTTTGAAGGCGAATGTGTCTGTCTTATAGAGATTATGGGCGAATAGAGCTCTTCGGAAAAGATGATGATGGGTGAGCGTCACTAGCATTGTTGAAAAAGCAAACAAACGATTACTCATGGCGTAGACATTTTGTATTTAGTTTCCACTAAAAAGGTATCATAAACGATGCGAAAGTTTTCGAATCTCAAATTTCTTGCAATTTCGTTAAAAAATTTGATTTCTGTGGTTTAACTTTGCGAAAATTTGTTCATTTTTTTTTTTTTTGTTTATGTTTTTAGAGAGCTTTCTATGTAGAAATTTCAAGCGATATAAAAATGATATATATTTTTATTGAAAATTTATCACCCGAACTCTACTACTACTACGCATACATAAATAATGTACAATATTAACACTTGAAAATTAAATGAAAAGTGTTTTTCATTCATATTTCCATTGGTCTGTGATAAGTGTTTGTCAAGCTAATAAAATATTTTGTTTTATTTTTGATCTTTTTTTTTTTTTGGATAAAATAAAAAAGTTCTTGGATAAAATAAAAATTAAATTTTATCATTAAATTCCAAACAAAGTTAAGTGCGCGGTTTCAGTTTCAATTTAAATTTGAAAAAAAAAAAGAAAATAATAATAATAATAAAATAGTCCAAAAAACACAAAAAACTACCCAACTTCCAAGCAAACATCAACTAAAACCCGAAAAGCAAATAAAAAAGCAAGCGCAGAGACACAACTGTAGAAAAAGTTGTATAAATATTTTGATAAATACGAACTAGAATATGAATTGAAAATAAATATGTAAATTGTCCCTTGAAAGAGACAGAGAGAGAGAGAGAGAGAGAGAGAGAGAGAGAGAGAGAGAGAGAGAGAGAGAGAGAGAGAGAGAGAGAAAAAGACGGCCGACAAAGAGTGGGAAGGAGATATATGCACAAGGGTGGTCAACTAACTGAAAGCAGGGACAGCGGAAAAAAGGATAAGGCAGCAAATAGGTGAAGCGCGTTAGAAAAATTTTAAAACTCAAAACGACCGCAAACATACATAAAATATAAAAGAATTTTGTTCACGTATTTAATTGACTGACGAGCGGATTCATGTTTATGGTGAACATTGGCGAATTGTTGTTGTTGCGTTTTTATTGAAAGCATAATTTAAACGAGAATTAAAACGGCACAATATACGCAGATACATACACATAACACGCGTGCATAAATAATAATTTATTGGATTCGATGCGAACATTAACCACTTTTGAAAACCGCACAAAATAAAATATAAATAATGCCTATGTAAACACATCCAGCAACAAGAACAATAACAACAACAACAACAACAAGAACAACAACAACAACAGCAAAAGCAACACATCCTATGTGGGCATATTGATGATAAATGCTTATGTATATGTGTGTACACGTACACACACACATACACATGGCCAAACAAAACTCAACACATACGCTGAATAATTAAACGAACGTTGTGTGAAAAACTTTTCTGTGCAGCCATCATAATCATCATCAAAATCAACATCAACATCAACATCATCATCATCACCGTCGTCATCGTCGTTGTCGTCATCATCAAGCCATCAAAGCATTACCGATCTAACTACCACCTACCTATATCTACTTGGAGTCAATAGTAGTGTGTTTTAATTTCTATACAGCGGTGATAATAAATGTACGTCGCCTATGTGATATGTTTATAAACACAAACTGACCGCAAAACATTATAAGCAACAACAACAACCGAAAAAGAGCGACAAAAAAAAAAAATAAGAAAGCTAAACATAAGAACCAAAAAAAAAAATTTAAAAATAAATAAATAAATAAATAAAAAACACATGAAAGCATAAACCTAAACTGAAATCATTTTGTATGTTCGTATAGAGAAAAGGACGAAGAGTATAGTACTCTGTGGATTGCTTATATTGCATTGAAAACATTATAAAAGGGAACCGTCTATCACAGAAGCAATTGCAAAAATGTTGGCAATGCCCACACTCATGATGCCAGCCACAGCACAAATGACGCTTAGCAGTCAACCACTGTCAGTTGGTACCCCACATGCTAAACCGTATGAAACTAAATTGTTGGCCATACACCAGACCCATATAACTCAGCAGCAGCAGCAGCAGCAACAGCAGCAACAGCAAGTAACGCACCAGCAAAATAATACAAATAAACAGCAACAGCAGCAACAAATGTCGGCCAATCAACAGCAGCAACAACAACAGCAGCAGCAACAGGCGGCTCAACAGCAAGTGCATCAACAACAACAACAGGCTCAACAACAACAACAACAACATCATCAGCAACAACAAGCTGCGGCCGCCGCTGCAGCAGCGGCCTGCATTGCTCAACAGCAAGCGGTAGCCGTCGCTGCTGCAGCTGCCCAACAGCAGCAACAATATCAAATTCACTCCCAACAGCAATCACCACAGCAGGCCTTAAGTGCCTCACCGAAGCAAGGTAAGTTTCATTCATTCAGTGCATATAATATTCACTCACTTCATCGGTCCACCCGGTAACCCAGTGATGGACTATCGTCACTATTACTCAAATAATGATAATAATAATAATGATGATGATGATCTTGATGATGATGATGATAACGATGATAGTACAAGCGTTAATAATAATGATTATGTTTAACAATGTTGATGTATGATATACGTAGGATATTGCTGATGAAGTATACTTGTCCTACATATATATATAAAAAGACACACAGACAGACGAATATACAGAAAAATAGTGAAATAGACGGGCAGACATACCACTAGCGATTTTATATGGTTTTGTGGCTTAAAGAAAAATGTTCCCTATAAACGCAAATGAACTGCACCAGCAATAGACTTTCGTATGCCCATACATATGTATATACGAGAGTGTTTGTAAAACTAAAAAATCCTCATTAACTTGATATGTTGCCATATCAGCCACAAACTGACTGACTGTAATAATGTTTTAAATTTCAATTTAAATTCAACATGGGATTATATTGCGTATCACGCACACACACACACACATACACACACACACACACACACACATACACACACACACACACACACGAATTCATAAAAAATAATGAGATAATCAACACTTTATCAAATATTTTCACTATAATCCGAAAACTTGTGTGTGCGTACGTGTGTATTTGTGCGTGCGTCTGTGTGTAGTATTTGGTATTTCAACTGAATACAAATACACATCACGTCAACAAAGAAATTATATATTTAATGATGACATAGATATGAAGGTAAAGAAAAACCGAGAGAATGGGCGTGAGAGAGAGTGTGAAGAGTGGAGAAGGTAAAGACACATCAAAAGGATCATATTTTATTATATACGTTTGCGTTGAAAGTCAAATATTCATTGATATAATGACTTCAAAGGCTTTTTCAATAAACTTTTAAATATCTTCACGTTTCATGCTTTCCACTTATTAAACATGAATGTTTCTGCTGCCGTCATGCATTCCTTCTCTTTATTGCCAGTCAATTGAAAAATAATCAATTTCCTTGCATTCGATATATTATAAGAAAAAGAAAAAGAAGAAGAAGAAGAAAAACAAAAAAAAAACAAAAACCAAACACTGCAAAGGATACTTTTACCTACTACTACTACTACTATTACTCATAATCTTTTGTTAATCAGTAATTTAATTAAGCAATTACTTGACAGCAATGATTAGCATTTGCTTTCTGTAAAACAATAAAATGCAATTGTCTTACAAATTTGTGTGAAAATCACTCAAATGTAAAGAGATTTTTTTTTTTTTTTTCTTGAAATCAAAAGAAATTTATAAAGTTTTTTACTCATCGCAAGTGTAAGCAAGCAAGTAAATCATCCACAATGTAATGCTGGTCCGCTTTGGATAGTTTCAGCAAGTAAATGCCCAATAAGAAGGTGATATGTGTCTTAACTTATTTTAACTATTTTTGGAGATCTGATCAGTTTGTCTAGAACTTTTTGATGGTTTTTCTAGCAGTTGGCCGATTAAGACCATTTTTCGACCCCTACAAAATGTCTTTGAGTTGAGTTTGAAATCCGCAGATTTTATGCATTATAATAATTTAAAGATTTTTTTTCGTTACTTTTTGGGCAAATCACGCCCATTCTCATTTATAAAAATTGGAAATACATCCCGAATAGGCATATGTAGAAGATTCGTGCTTTACTATATCTATCATGAAAATAAAGTTCGATTTTTCGGTTTCTTTTTGCGGCTTGCATTGTGTTTTTAAGCAAGTGATGGACGGATTTCGTCTTTGAATCTGGTACGAAACTTTGTGAGTCGAGATTGCTACATATAAAAGTCGATTAAGAAAATACCATACAAACCAAGAATGCATAGACATAATGGGGCATCTAATCACACTCGGCTTTATAGCTTTTACATATTTTTTTTTTTTTTGACCAATAGCTCAGGAAATGTTTCCTATTCGTGTGCTACGGTTGAAAAGAATTGACGAAAGGGAAAGAATTAGGGAGAGAGGCCAAAGCCTAGCGGCAGTGTTCACAAGCTATGCCATTCGCGACTGCGTAAGCTCTTCCCTTATGAGATGTGAATCTGTGAACAGGGAATTGGGGGCAGCGATTCGTACCTACTCGCCTACTGATGCGGAAGCTAGCTATGGCTATTTTAAAATCCGAAATAGTTTTGAAACAATAATTTTAGATCATTGGCCTCTTTAATTTTCTAACATCTTGTAAGCGACCCATTGTTGCTTTCAAACATACTCCATGGATGTAGGGACCTTTACTTTAAGAATTCATGTGCTACGCTTCTTGGATCAATATCCGATTCCGCTAGTAAGGTATTAATAAAAGAAAGTACTTAAGTATTTTTGCTTATCGCACAAGTACTATTTCGACTAATACGTGTCTTGCTCAATTCACCTTTTTAATTTCGGACACGCCCTAAGGGATCATAATTAGCAAGGCTTTGACTTTCCTACAAGCTTTTGTTATTTTGAGAATTCAAAGCGTTGATGTCCACATGAACGGACGTGACGACAATATATCAATCCACATAAAAGATAAATATTATTCGAAAAGTCTTTTAAGCATTTTTTGAGACTGCTACCAACAGGATAAAAAACCAGTAAACCAACAATATTGTAAAATACTTCTTTTCACTTATATTGTGATAAAATTATGAATTTTTCAGTTTTTTCTCCCAACACATGTTACACTTAATATATAAACGTCTAGTTAAGATTGATTGATGAGCGAACCGTAAGTGTTCTATTTCTTAGAAAAATTTATATATATATATATATATAAAAACATATTGAATTACGAATAAATATAAATTAAATTTGTCCTTTTTCGTTGCGCAAAATTTACATCAGACATTTCGTAGATGTCAGAGACAAATTTTTCTAGTCCCTTCTAGTTGAGGCAAAGATAGTGAAATGTGTTTTCGAAATTGTGCGAACTTACTTGGTGAAGCGTATTTTTAATCAGTTAAGTTTGTCGATCCCTTTATTGATATGCTCGTATACTGATCAAAGGAAGAGTAAGGATAATATGGAAATAGAATGTAGTGAGTCGTCTTGAAAAACTGACAAAAATATTTTGTAAAACTTCACTTTTCCTATATAATCCGATATAAACGTACTGGAAAACTCTCGGCGGGTTATGTAGAGGACACAGGAAATAGGAAACATTTAGCGGAACATAGTTGGGGGGAGGGGTGAGGCGACTGTAGTAAAGGTCAAAGCTAAAAGAGAAAAATATGGGAAATCCGCTTGAGTGATTGAGTAAGCAAAGTTGCCTCACCAACAAGTCAATGATCGTGCGTTCAAGTCTCAAGTGCGATAACACGTTAGACTTTAGTCTTAGTATTTATTTCTCTGACTAAATTAGTAATAATAATAATAGGAAAACTTTAACTATTAATTACTTCACTTAAAGATTTATGTATATATGTAAAAAAATAAAAAAATTCACTTAACGAGTTAAATGAGTTTTTTTTTAACGAATAACGTCAACTAAATCGCATTTTTTCTTTACGACAATTACTTTGCTGGTATTGGGTGACGATTTCATAGTCCTACAAACCAACATTGAAAATTGGTCAAAAAGCGTTGAAACGGAGAATAGCGGAAGAAGTGCAAGAAATGCTACCGAATTACATTTGCCGATGCCGATCCAAAATTTTTCGAAAATCTAGTTCCAGGCTTGCTAGTTCTGAATCCAATATTTCCAAATTTTTTATAACCTAAATGTCAAGTTTGTGTGGGTTTGTATAACACGCAAAAGCATTTGAGAGAGAGCCACCTTTTTTTAGTCTATCGATCGATTCAGATAGTGACTCTATGATCGAAGTCTGTCTGTCTCTATGAAATATCGTTGTATGAATAATTGTAAGGTGATGTAGGGTGTCTAATGAAGGACTACAATTTTTTTTTGTTTTTAATAATTTCCAAATCAAATCGTTATGAAAACTTTACCTTCATTGTCAAAATTATATAATCGCAATGTCGCTTAGTAGATCAACGGCAGAAATGTAATGGATATCCGTAATCGAATAACGTAATCGATGTACATTTTCTTAAATTAACTAAGCAACCATTCTTTTCACTTTTTTCCAATTTAAAGCGTCTCTTTTTAAGAACAATTGTTTTTTTTTTTTTTTTTTGTTTTCTGTGCAAACATTTTTTATTGCCCTTTGTTGTCGTTGTTTTCAGTAAACTATGGAAAAATAAATTCTTTCGTCTTATATTCTCTTTACTTTCCATTGGAAAATGTAACGTAATTTCTTTTTCCATATTCGAAAACTAACTGGTTTCCAGTTTTTTTTTTGTTTTTTTTTTTGTTTTTTTTTTGTTTTCTTAAGCTTAAGGACATTGACTGATGCTGTTATGTCGTCATGTTAACAAGATTGAAAGAAAACAAGTTTGTATTGTGTACATAAGAAAACATGTACATAATGACATATCTGTATATATAGCCATGAATCAATGTACGTGTACGTGTGTTGGCTTGGATATGCGTTTGCTGCGACTGCTTTTGGCATTTGTTATCAGCGATTTAGTGCATCTTGAAATACAAATATGTGACATTTTTTTCTAGATCGATTTTATTGTTATTATTATTGTTGTTATTTTCTACTCTTTCCTTCTTTTTATACACAAACAACCAAGTTTAACATATAAGCAACAAAAATTGAAAATTGCTTTACTTATGTATTATAGTAGGAATTGGAAGATAAACAAATATGAATATTCCTTGAATTATATATATATATATATATATATATATATATATATAAATGAGTATATATATATATATATTCATATATGTAAACATCCTATATATGCTTTCATATGGATATATGCATCTATTATTCAAAGCAATGCGATTATTGTACGTACGCATTAAAAACAATGCATAGAAAGTTTTTCCAGAGATAAGATCGTTCAGTCAGTCAGTTACTGTAATTTTTTTTATTACGT